TCCACATCCCAATCGATAATGATTCTGATATATCGTGGCTGGCATCATCTATTATACAAATGGATTTCAGGTGTAATCAACGGTATACTATTATAAGAACAGTTGTCATAAATTTATTACATTCAATTTGCATAAATTAATTAAAATCCTCAAGAATATACCATTTTTCTCATTCAATCGGTTTAATGATAACTTATGGATTGATGTATGGGATTTAATTCTTTTTTTGGTTATACTCAAAGAGTATTAAAGTTAGCTAAGAAAATTTATCATTCATATTAGCTTAATGATCGGAAATGTACGCTTTTGTAAACATATTATGTGTAGATTGGAATGCGTAAAAATTTGCAGCAAAAGAAAATTAATTTGGAAAAATGAAATTAAAAATAAGGAGAATGAAGGATGTTTAGTGTGTAAGATGATCGCAAGCAGTAAGAATTGAAGTTGCGGTAGAAAAAAACTAAAACATTCGCAGGGAAAAAGGGGTGGTTAATGAATGTAATGAATAAATTAAGCGGTTATTACTGAACAAGCAATTTTGTTTTGCTAATGATAAATGAAAAATACAATAACGGATTTTGTGATGGATTTTCCGCTAAAGATATTAAGTAAGATAAAAAAACTAAAAATGTGAATTTAATTAATTCAAACCTAATGTTTACTTTGCTATAAATATATTGTTTCTTATTGCTGTTATTAAACAAACGATTTTTTTCACTGAAAATATACTTTTGAAAATGGAAGTGTTTACTCTCTAATATAAATATTTATGCGGCAATGTTTGCCGCTGAAAAATGCCATACCAAATTCCGTGATGACTCATGAGTTAAGATAGCTGAATGAAATTCATAAAATTGTCGCATTTTTCATTCATCATTTTTTATTCGAATCTGCCTTCTAAAATTTTTATAAAAGGAAAGGAAACTTATTCTTTCCATCCTTCTGTAAGATTCAATCCAGAATTCCCCACTTTAGTTTTTAATTTTATCATTGTATTAGATATTTTGCACAATTAAAATTTTATAATATATACAGGCTTTCTCCCTAAAGTATTTAAAATTTTGAAAATAAATTACAGCCTTTTCCTTTATCTGCTGGTTATGTAAGAACCTGAATGTCCTCAGAGCAAGCATAATTGTTCATTACTCATTTACTACTACTATGGAAATCTTGAATAAGATGAAATAGAATTTTTAAGGAGTAATTAAATAAGGATTAATTTTGTAATTATTACATTTAATTCTTATTTATAATCAGCACAAAAGTATTGATAAATATTGATGCTGATATGAGCCAATAATATTTCATCGAGACTTCAAATATTTCTCAATCACTAATTTGGCTATTAAGTATTGAATTTTCTCTTGGACCTTTTCTTTTTCCATCATTCTTATACATTCAGTAAAATAAATGAAAGCTTCTTTCCACTGAGTTACCTGCTGGATAGAAGTAAAAAATATCAAAGTAATGAACTGCTCC